GGTTTATAGTTACTGTCTTGAAAACTGTTCTTTTCTGTTAATACAGCCTATAAAAAAATAAAGTAAATGTACGAAAAGGGAAAAAATGGAATACAAGATAAATTTGAATTTTTTTACGATGATAAATAAATAGTATTTAAATAATTTTGATTTATTTGAAACAAAGATATTAATTTCTTAGATTACATTATAGTGAATACATTAGGAATTACTTTGCATATGCAGTTTTTATATACTTATGGATTAAATTTATCTCCTTGTCCAACTATTAGCTTAAAAACGTCTTTAATTTATTTGAAATGATGACTTAGATAAAATATCTTTTTTTTTTCGTATTTAAGATATTAGAAGGGCGATTTATAGTCTGAAAATGACGTTAAGAGAAAATTTGATCTAATAGGTAATAATATTTTTGATCATTTCTGATTCGCTAAGGGTATTTTTGAACTAACTGGTAGAATGATGAACAAATTTGATTCATACGGAAGGACATATTTAAGTCGTTTTTAATTCCTTCACGTATTGAAACAGGGAAAACAAATTTTAAAAATAACATTCTAAGTTGATTATCGTCTCTTCAACACCCAACATCCCGACCCCACCCGTTGACCAGCCTCTCCTTTCATTATCGAACCCACTCCTCACTTCGTCCACTCCTCTATAGTGTTTTGCTAGATTACATATAAATATTTTTAAGATAATATTTTCTTTATCTTACTTGCCGACCATTACAAAATAAGTAAAATATCCATTTACTTTTCAGAAAAACATTTTTCTACGAATCAAACATACCATTAATCTAATTCCCGATAGAAAAACAAAACTTGAGTTTTTTCTTTGACGAATAGTCAGTCAACAAAGGGAAAAAAAAAAGGCAAATTATAATGATTTTAATTCAATTTATAGAAAATTGATACTACCCATGCTTCACACAAAGGGTCATAAATAATTTATAATGGTCAAAGAAAAATAAGTTATATATTCGTGTTTTTATTTATTTATAGGAATTATTCTTATACATTTAATTTTCAATGAATAAATATTTAAAATGTTTCAGAATTTTTTTGTCGGGCCAAAAAAAAAAAAAGAAGAAAATATTCGTGTTGACATTAGTTACTTACCTCTAAAATCTACATCATAATTCCTTATCATATTATTTGACCTCATTTCTATTTTTAAAAAAGTCTAACTAATTAATTGTTCTTTTCTCACCAACAAATTTCCTAAATCTGTTTAAAATAGACAGTGTAGATATTTGATAGGTATGCCCTCTTTTATATTCCTTCTATCCGATTTTTCGTGATACTTTTCATTTTTCGAGAGTCAAACAGTTAACTTTGATCGGACATTTGCGTATGGAGTTTTTAAATTTTTTGAAATGAAACTTATATATTTGTAAATTACGTGAAGAGTACTATAAGTCACAATAATTGATAATTTAAAATGTCAAAAGAATCTATGAAAAACTTAGAATCAAAAATAGATTTATTTAAATTTCGAAAGGCGAAAAGTAATACATAAAATGCGACCGAGTAAGTTTTCTTTGTTGAGCTGTTGTGTGGTCAGTGGTGTGACAAAAGAAAACTTGAAGTGGGCTTAAACTTGGAAGTCCAATTGATCTAATTGGGCTTGTAAAAGCAACCACAGTGTTCAATAATATGTTATACGAAAATTTCAATCTCGAGATCTAAGACCTAGGCTCAAAATCGAAATCTCTGATTAAAAGAAGAGTAGGGTAGTTGTATAATCCATGAAAAAATAAAAATAAAAAGGGCCCAACCGGGTTCGAACCGGTGACCTCTTGATCTGCAGTCAAATGCTCTACCACTGAGCTATGGACCCATTTGTGTAAGCAGTTGATATAGTGAAAAAAGAATTGTGACTTCCATAAAATTGGACAATTAGCGTATTGATTCATAAAAGTATATTTTGTATGATCGTGTTACAATTTCGTGAGTTAAATTTCTTCTTTATGGTCACAAGTCTAAAAATTGAGTCAGTACTACTGCACTCGCCAAAGCAATAAACCATTGGGAACTCCAAAATCCGCCTCGTAGTACAAAGTCCTGCATTGAGAAAAATGAATTAATACCAATTATCAGGGTAGCTCTTTTGAAAAATCACGATAAATAATCTGAAACGAAAAAAATAAAATAAAATTTACCTTTGATGCTGAAGAAGGCACAAGTCCTCTAAATCCAATTTTATAAGCTATACTTCCATCAGCTTTAAACAATCCAAAATTCCTCTCTGAAGTTGGGCCACGTTTCTGATTTTCATTAAACAAAGCAAATACATAAGCCCTCATCACCATTTTAGGCCTATGTGGTGTCCCTTTTTTCTTCAACAACAATTTATGCAAATTCTTGTTATAAGTTCTTGCATTTTTCACATTTGCACCAGCTTCATTTTCATCCCCTTGTGAAGCCCATCCTGTTTCTGAACAAATTACTGCCATTTTCTCGAAACCTGTCTTCTCCAGCGCGAAATATGCAGCATCAATCATAGCCTCAAACATGTTATCGTAATGCAACTTCGTTTTTGCATCATATATACCACTCGATTTCTCGAATAATGCATAGTTAAGATCAATGTGACTAGGGTCACTCTTGTAGGCCAAAAAAGGGTATGCATTTATGTAAAAAGGTGAACCAATTTGTTTCGAAAAATTTAATAATGGTAACATATAAGGTAGTATACTTTCTTTAAATGCACCAGCTGAGGGAGGATATGTGTTATCAAAAACAGCTTCTGAATGTGGACTTGACACTTCTATTTTGTGTGACAAGTCCAATTTTTCGAGTGCATTATACACATTTTTAACAGCAGGGACTAAAACTTCCCACAGTTCAGTATCTCCTCCTCCGAGAACTTCGTTACCAACTGCTATGCCACGAATCAAGGTACCGGGGAGGTAAGGTTGTACGTTTATTTTCACCCATTCAACAGCGCGATCTTCATTCACACTTATGTCCTTGAGAAATTCATTGCCAAGTCCTATGATGATTTGAATTTCAGAATCTTTAAAAGCTGTTAGAACACTATGATCCGCGTCATAGATTCTAACATTCTTTATTTTGTTAGCCCTCAGAAGCGTTACAACGCTTTCTGGGGCTGGGATGTTGTCTGCTATCCTTCCATAATTTATCCCATATGTACCTGTAAATGCATCTGCCACCAAAACTGTGTACAACAAATACCAAAAGAAGTATTAGTACATGGTAAAAAGATGAGTATTTGTTTCTCATCTATGCAAAATATGATCAAAACAACAACTACGTCTCAAATCCTGAGCAAGTTGGGATTTGCTGGCTATATGAATTCTCACTATCCATGTCACTCCATTCAAAATACGTTTATATAAGGGGCGAGTTGGGGGCCAACTTGAAGCTAGGCGCCAACTTAGCATCAATTGGCGTACATATGTTGTAGAATGCATTTTATAACGTTTCTAGCTCAATTGATGCTAATTGGCGCCTATTGAACTTTATTCAATGATTGAGAAGGGTCGGACCACAAGGGTCTATTGTACACAGTCTTACCCTGCATTTCTGCAAGAGACTGTTTCCACATCTCTAACTCATGACCTCATATGGTTACATGATAACAACTTTATGAGTTGCATCAAGACTCCCTTTGAGGACATAGATAGTACAAGTCAAATTATAGTTTGAGATCATGACAATTAAAACCTAAAAAAAGAGCAGAAAAATACCATTAAAGAGAAGAATGAGACAGAGGAATAAAGACAAGTAGGAAGTCATTTTTTTTTTGTTAGTAACATAAATTTTATTCCCAGTTATTAGTAATATATGTAACAAAGATGGTAACTTGGGATACAATGCTTCTCTATTAGGCAAATATGGCATAGTTGATAATCAAAACAATAAAGATTCTAAACTTTAGAATTATGTTTTCTAATGTTGTTTTAGAATTTATTCCAACCTTTTCAAAACAGCCATTAATTTCTTCCCTCTTAATTCTAATGCCTTTATCATATAGCTTTCCTCTTTTTGTCATGTACTTGACTAGCAAAACGAGCTCAGAATTTAAAATATATAAGTTTTGAATTATATACTAAGATATTGAGTGATCGGAACTTGACATAATGTCTCTTATGGAATTTGTTTTTTTTTTATTGGAGAAGTCATTTAGATGTGTTCAGATTTCTAATTATTTAAGTTGTGGATTACTATATGACAAGATAACATATAGGGTCGGAACATGAGAAAATGTAACTTGTGGAATTATTTTCCTTGTCTTCAAAAAAATATTTTTTAAAAGTTTTAATCAAATTTTAAAAAAATTAAGATATGTTTTATACCAATGGCACAGAAAAACAACAACATATTATATATCACAACCTATCAACTTTTACTATAAAAAAAATGGTATAACATATATAAAAAATCTTCATAGAATTTTATAGGGTATAAGATATACAAAAAACCTTTGTAGAATTTTTTAGGGTCTAATGAGGTTCATTTCAACTATGTCTCCACAAGAATTAGTAACACATAGTTTACGAGTCTGTTTGATCAAATAAGTATGATAATTTTGAAATAAAGTGTGAAATTATTTTGTTTAAAATTGTATTTTTGTAAGTATTTTTGATTTAAATTATTTGAATTGAGGATTTTTCATAAATAATTTCTTTATTTCACCAAATTAAGAATAAAGGATGCGTAAATTTTATATTACTTTAATTTCACATACGAAAATCACTAATGAATTTGTTATTTATTCTAATAGTTAGAATTTTGTATACATATGATATACATAATTATACTATACAATACTTGTGATATAATTTTTAATCTCATATCATAATCCCCTCATTCTAATTGAGTGTAGTTAAATCACCTAGATTGCTCTAGGAGGACTACTCCGGCTTAATTTTCATCTATTGAGGAATCAAATCTCAAGATAAGTAAAATATTGAGGACCAAATCAAAGTTTAGACAAAAGTTATAAGGATCACTTGTGTAATTTTACTGAGTACCTACTTTAACGCACGGCGTCTCACTCTCCTCCTCAGTTCGAGTTTCGAGAACTCCTCGACGATTTTTTTTCGCAGGTAAATTACTAATTTTAGGGCTCTTCTTTGCTTTGTAGTAGAAATTATTTGTTTTTCCGATTTCTAAGCTCTTACATGTATTGAATCATCTCCGCCATTTTTTTGTTGCTTCAATTTGATTCGGCTGATATAATTAATATCTGATACGGCGGCAGATTTAATATCGGAATGAACTTTTGTTATTCAGGTACTGTATGAACTGTATATCGAACTTAGAAGACGATACGAGAGTACTGTACTGGAATTTAGGGTTTATATTTATTGGAATGAAATTAATTTGATTATGTTTGTGTTTCTGTACTATGTATGTATTTTGTTCAGCATTCTGATTATAATTTTAATACGATGTGCAAAGTTGGAAAAAAAAATCAACAGTGTTGAGTATAAATGTTACGGGATTGTGTATTGTTTGCATTTGAAACATTTGTTCCGGTGAGTTCCTGTGGTGTCTAGGCCAGCTTTTGCGCACATGGGATACTTGCCATCTCCCAGGTTCTAGGTGAGTTCAAATGAAGATTATTATTGGATATTTGTTTTTTCGTAATTCTAGAGTCTCTGAATAGTGGAAGTTGTGTTGTTATGCAGAGAAGGAATAATATTGCTTTAGAATTGGTAGAAAATCTTATTGCCCATTTTGGTGTAAAATGGTTCATCCCTTTGCTCGGTGGAATAATCTATCTAGGTTTAATTATGTTGTAAGCTTTTCAACAGGAAAAAAGGGGATATATAGATAGTACTCAAACATTCTGTTTCGTTTTTATGAAACCTAAACTATAGCTTTTGATCTTGGGATTTAAGAAAAAACCATTTAGAAAACTGACTGACTAAAGGTGGATGAGAAAAAGGGATTTGGAAATATTTTATGTTCTGCAAAAATTGACTGTGTTTGCATTACTCCATATCTTTTATTGGTATTAAAGCAAATGACAATATTATGATAATTCCAATCTCTACTCGATTAGGCTGCCTTCAGCTCTTTGTTTGATATTTTCAATGAGTTGTTTCTTCCTAGAAAAATGAGCAAATGCCCCACCCATAAGTTTAGCCAGCAAATTGTTCAAGCCCACATAGCTCTTATATGGCCACATTCTTGCATATTAGTATTATTTATTTTGCTTAAAAGTATTTTAACTTGTGGGCTTCCTTTTATGTTTTGACAAGGTTTTAGCATCAGTTTACCAAGAAGCTGACAACTAAGTTTCAGCTCACTCTGCAACATGGCATCTGGACTTGGGCTTGAGTCTCTTGTTGATCGTACGTGGACTGTCCTTGTATTTATTTTCTGTCTTGCTTGATGAGATTAGCTCATGTTTTAAGGAATAACACTATTTGTTTTCTTTCTTTTGGTGTTTCCAGAAACTATCTCAGTTATTACAAATGATGGACGGAATATTGTGGTGAGACATTGTTTTGCTTTTGTTGCCAAATACTGTGCTGGAGACCCTTTATTTTGCTGACTTCTTGATTCTTTTTCAGGGAGTTCTGAGAGGATTCGACCAGGCTACAAACTTGATTCTTGATGAATCTCATGAGAGAGTATATTCAACAAAGGTTCGTCTGTGTCTTATCTGAAGAATTCATTAATCATGTCTAGACATTTCATTTTAGTAATGGTGTACAGTTATTTATACAAATTACTTCTGAACGACATTTTGATATATGTGGATGTTTCTATTTGGTGCTTGTAGTTTCTAGGATTCTTAGTATTTTCCAGCTCATTAATATTTGCTAGAATTTATTCAGTCATTACATGGTAGTCTAGTCAGTTACTAGAAGTACTTTTTGAATGCCTGAAAATTTGAATTTTCAGGTTCTACTTTCTATCTAAGTAGACAATATTCTCATAAAAAATTGCCAAAGAAAGTACAAAGCAACAAGCAGCATTTAAAAAAGTCCCTCATGGTTGCATAATCTAGGTAATGAAGAGTGAGATTTCATCTTCAATTTGGTTTTTTTTGAAAATCGGGTAACATAATTTTTTCATGGTAGAGTTTGGTTTTCCTCCTTTTTGAGCCGAGGGTCTATCCGAAACAGCCTTTCTACCTCACAAAGGTAGGGGTAAGGTTTGTGTACATCCTACCATCCTCGGACTCCATTTGTGGGATTACACTGGGTATGTTGTTGAGTATGGTTTTCCTGAATGTCGGCGCTGTAGCAGTCTGCAGTAGATGTGAAACAAGATGCTTTGGTATGACTGAAATTGTTTGCTAACTATAGTTTCATGCTATTATGGGCTTTTTTCACATTAAGGTTCCTTTTTTTTCCATGCTTATACCCCTATAAGTAAACCTTTTTCCAATTATGCTGTGGTTTATTTGCATTATTGTGCTTGCTGTGTTAAGTACTACTAACCCTTAGCTTTTATTTGCAGGAAGGTGTACAGCAACTTGTGTTAGGTCTTTATATCATAAGGGGAGACAACATGTATGTGCACTGTTTGCTGCCACTTCTTTTTTAAGGATGCATATGGTTCACCTAAAACAAGAATTCCTTTAAGCCCTAATAGGTTTTCCTGTTAAATTGTTGCAGAAGCGTCGTTGGGGAATTAGATGAAGATCTTGATAGTAACTTGGATATGTCAAAACTGAGAGCACATCCTCTAAAGCCAGTCGTTCACTGACCTGCAACTTGGTGTGAGCCTTGTAATCCTGTGAACGGATGATGGATGGATCAAACATCAGTTTAGTTGATAGACTTTGGTACAACTATCAAATGAAAACTTCAGACATGTTATGTAGCTAGGAACACAAACTGTTATAGTTCGTTAGTCGTCGTTATATGTCTTATAAGTTTCCCTTTCTGATATTGGCTTGCGAAAGATTTTGAACTTTGTATAACTATCATATTAAAACTGCAGGCATGTTTCTGTGCCTAAGAGCACAAGCTGTTTTAGTTTACCTCTCATCTTCTGTTTAAGCTGGATAGCCGAACTTAATGTCTCTGTTAAAAAGGTGTTTATTGTTTTTACAGAACGAGAAAATGATCAAATTGGTCCTTAATGTGTGGTAATACTCTTACCTTTCTTAAACTTCATTTATGGACTATGGTCAGAGAATTTTATTGGGTAAAACTCTTAAATGGGTAGAAAGTGATTATTTTTGTCCTAGACCTTGAAGTAACAACTATGCAAGTAAATGTCTTTTTCTTATTAAGTTTAACTAGCAATTCACTTTATTTGTATAAAAAAATTATTAGACAAAAATGGGAGTGAAGCTTTTCGGCCATAACCAAATATAGAACGGTTTAAGTTTTGCCACTTTTAATAGAAACTCTTATTAATAATAAAGTTTATTTGTAAATAAATATTTTTAGAGTTATTTTTAGTTGTCATGATTTTTGTTTTTAGAGTCAAATTATAAGAATTTTGATTAATATTTTAAGATGTATTTTTCATCGCATTGATATGCAAAGATTGCAATTTATAGTATTTTCATAGATTTTTTGTATATCTAAATTTTTTATTTAAAATATCAAATTAATGTAATTTAATTTAACTTTAAAAAATTAGTCAATTGATATTCAAAAGCGTGACATCACAAATAAAAATGAACGAAGAGGTATAATCTAGCATAGAGCATCCTCATATCATATTTTATTAATTGAATTTTAGGGTAATTAGGCCACTATAATCTAACAAATTATCCGCTCCGTATTTGGATAACATAGAAAGTGTTTTTAAGTAATAATTCACTTAATCCCAAATTTTATATTTAAAAAAATCCCAAATTTATCCGAAAATAATAAAGCAATCTTTTTTTTAATTTTATAATCTCATGAGTTAAACAGTTAAAATACACCTAAATTACACTTTAATAATTTCAATTTAACCGTCCAAATTTAATCAATTGGTCGTTTGCCACCAAATTTAAAAGAAAACCTATAAACCCCTAAAACCCCAGTTTGCCGAAGTTCTCTGAATTAAGTTATCAAAGAAGACGCCATTGAAGCATGTAATTTTATTGTTGAATTGATTCAAGGTCGTTACTTTCAGCATTGATGATTTTCCTTGTTGTGATTCTCTATTTTCAGTTTTCCCCTTTTTTTTCTGTACAAAAATTGACTATTTTCAGTTTTCCCCTTTTTTTCTGTATAAAAATGGACTCCTGTTTATTCTGTATAGAAGGAGTTTGTAATTGCTGACATGTTTCTCAGGATTTACAATTTGGTCTGCTAAATACAACAATGTCTTCGAGTTTTCAAGCTTCTATACTTGTGGCTTCCCCATCTCACCCTAATTCTGTAGCTTGGTCAGAGGAGAATTTGTTGGCAGTAGCTTCCGGTCATATTGTTACCATATTGGTAAATTTCTTGTTCACAGCTGATCCTCTTCTGCCTTTCTTGTAATAATGCTGTAAAAGTTTGCATCTTTTTGGATTTTTAACAAACTTTCGACTTAGCATCATTTTTTATTTGGTTTCCCACCCGGTGTCTTAGAGCTCCGATTAAATCTGAATTATGCACTGCAGAGTCATTTGGAGGTGGCTTTTCTAATAGGATTTTCTCCATAGCCCGGGCTTGAATCCGAGATCTCTGGTTAAGGGTGGAGTAGTCCCACCATTGCACCACTACCCATGTTGGGGATTTAGTATCATTGATTAGGCATTGAATTAGCAGACGTACTATTGAAAAGTAATATTTTTCTTCTTTTTTTCAGAATCCAGCTAAACGATTGGGATCACGAGGTCTCATTACTATACCTCCTGGCAAACCTTTTTCTGTTGGGTTCATTGATAGAAAAGGTAATGTTATATGTCTTGTACAGTTGATTTTTAGTGCATGAATGGGATTCTTGTTAGTATAAGATGATGTATTCTGTACAGAACATATATTGTATAGGTTATTTGCTTTACTACCACTTGGGTATCGGGAGATTACCCACATTAGTAAATTTATTACTAGTTCAAAAAAGTGTTGTGAATTAGTCAGACAACTTATTAATGGTTCGTATATGTGTTCCAACTATGCCTGAATTTCGACTTTAAATCTTCACAGATTTACTCTCTGATTGCATGTTACATATTGCATTATCTCGAGACTCCTCTCCTCAAGAAAAACAATATCGGGAAAATCGGCCATGTGCCCGGTCAATATCCTGGTCACCTATTGGATTTGCTTCAAATTCTGGGTATGATCTATGAAGCATATCAGTGAATGATCTTTGGTCGTTCTCAACAGTAATGTGAATAACAATGTTTTTGCTTGGTCTAGTTGTTTGCTTGCAGTCTGCACTACTGAAGGACATGTGAGACTTTACCGGATGCCATTTCTTGAGTTTTCAACAGAGTGGGTAGAGGTATGAATCAAACAAGGATGTGGAATAATATATTTATAACGTTTTGGATACTTCCTCACAGATTGAAGACTTTAATACCCAGTGCTATTCTTTTGGAACATAGTATTTTACTACCTCAGCAAATGCCTGAAAGCATTCAATTAGTTCATGTCTTTGTTTTTAGATTGTATTCCTGTTCGATTCTTATCCCAGATCCTTTATCATTTTGGTTCGAATAACATCCAAGTCGCATTTTACTTTGTCAAAAAAAAAAACAAACCATCCAAGTCACATCTAGAAGTTCAGTTTAGAACGTTAGTCCTCAGCGATCAAGCCACATGGTTCTCTTGAACAATTTCCAATGGGTTTTTCCCGTTTCTTCATAGTGATCTTCCAACCTTTATCCTTCTAGTCTTTGCCCATTGATCTAATTATCAAACTTCACAGGTCATGGATATATCAAACATGCTGTATAGCTATCTCAAAAATACCAATTTTCAGGCAGCAAACTTTAGAGTCTCAGAAGGTGCTGATGTAAGTTAAATTCATTGTTTTCTCCATTGTGTGGATTTTACTCTTTTCACATGAAACAGTGCCTCTTCTCTGTATCTTCAGCTGTATTTGGTTTGACTTGATTTCTGTTCTAACAGCCTAGTCAAGCTTGCTTTGATGAGGGAGATGATGATGATCTGCCAATCTCTAACATGAGAAAGGAACTTAAGCGTCAGAGACTGAACACATTGCCCGTACTTGCTGATCTCTTTGGTTCCTCCAAGTATTTTCACTATGCATGAATATTGTACTATCACATGCTGTAATTACTTAGACTGCAAAGAATGTAGACAGAGATAGAGGAGAAAAGAAGTGAACATTTAAGAACTACTTTTGGCAAATGATTATTTAGTTATTTAGATGATGAAATTTACTTAGTACCAACTTCAATACCAGTTTTTCTTATGATGCTATTACTTTTTTTTTAGGTGATGGAGGTTAAAGCATGCAGTCAGAATCAGAAAAGTACTTTTACAGCTCCTCGCTTAAGATCAAGGTCTTCTAAGAAAGTTTTTGAAGATGACCGTCAATCACTGATCACTGCTGAGGAATATGCCTCTCGCAATGCAATGCTGTCCTCACTCATTGTTGCATGGTCACCCTGTCTGCCGCAGACATCTGGATGTGGTATATCTTCTGCTAATGTCTTGACCAGTAGCTGTTCTGTACTTGCTGTTGGTGGGAAGAGTGGCGTACTATCGTTGTGGAGAATTCATAAACCTGAAAGCTACTCTATTATGAACATCCCGGACTCAAATAAAACAGTGCTCGTTGGACTTCTCGATGCACATGATTCTTGGATCACAACAATCAGTTGGAGCTTGTTCATTTCTGATGCTTCAGATCCTCTGCTTTTATTGGCTACTGGATGTTCCGATGGGAGGTACGTATCTACATTTTTATTATACAATAATCATAGCAAAAGAGCAGCTATGAGTGCAGTATACTTCAACGCATTCTGCCATGAAATGAAAAGAAGTTGTTAGCATGCTGACTCCTCTATTTTTCACCTGATTGTCTAGAGACTCCTCTGCTTCGTTTTTTTCTCCTTAGTATTAATCTTATCTTCTGAATAGACAAATCAAGACAAGAAAATCCAAAACAACTTAGAGCACTTAGCTCTAGATGAAGGGATGAGGTGGTTTTATAATTGGCAATGAGGACAAAATAAAGTTCAAGTGGGAAGAATTGTTAAATGAAAGCCTTAAATAAGAAGTACGTTTTAGTGACCATTCTATTATAGTAAATCTAAAAGATCGTTATTAATAGTTAACGTTGTATTGTCAATGAGGAAGTAATGAAGTAATCAATTGGTAAAGAAAGAGGCCAAGAACAGTTGTGTCCAAGTTTCTGGGACGAGATATGTGTTTGTGCCATCCGATATTATAATGCTAAATTTCCTTGTTATTTAGGAAGAAATTAAGTAATCAAATGGTAATAGAACCGCAGAATGGAAGCTTTCAAGGATAGAAGCTTTAGTTATATCCTGAATCAAACTGGTGGGAGAATGAACCGTCATTTTCCATTTCCTTCTCTCTAGGGACCTCTGAACCGTCACCTCTAACTTTAAACCAGGCCCAGCGCCGATGATTTCTGAGTGAGGTTTCCTCCTCTGTTTTAATCCATTCCCCACTCATCTGTTGATCTGCTTGAAATTGGTTTGCAACCACATGTTCAGGGGCAAAGCGTACACTTCTTTCCACCTCTTCTGGACAACATCCAACAGTGGGTGACCACCATTCAAGCGTCAATTTGGATTTCTTCCATCTCCCATCTCCCATCTCCCATCTCCCATCTCCATGGATGACATGATCTGCTTCCTTTCTAGATGGAAGTTCAGACAGATACCGGGGAATCATTCATTGCATACATATTGATACCGTGTTAAGAGTTCCACTCACTGCATACCCATCTCCGTATGTCATAACATCGTGAATCAAACTGATGCTAAACAATCATACTAACTGCAGAAGACGCCTATAAATGTAGATGTTGGTTTCAGTTAATGCAATAGCCTGCAATATATTGCATTTTTGCACAAGTTAATAGGTTCAACAATTTATTCTTCTTACT